GGCCGCCAGTTGGAAACCCCTGTTCTAGAGCCAAAAAGATCGTTCCACAGCACCTACGTGTGCCAGTTGTGGAGGAGACACAAATATTTCCCGGCAGGCTAGTCTTTTTTTATTTGCTCCTGATCTGGTTAGTTGAACACACGACCAATAGTAAATACATCTGGATTATACATTCATGAGAATAAGACATGCTCAGGAATAGTATTCATCAAGTTCAAACCATTGATTTTTTTTTTTTCGATTTTCGTAATAGTAAGATTCCTATTCATTTCAAATTTTGAAATAACGCAGTAAATAATAATGCTCAAAGCTTCCAGTATAAAAGAAATTTATTTTTAACTTTATTTTAAATACAAAAATTTCATAATTTATTACCTTTCTTATTACTTACAGTCAATTTCTAAATCGAATCTAGTGGTGAATAAATATATTTTCCATTTTCGATAAAAAGGGAAAGAAAACAAATCAGGAAAAAACTGAAGCGAATTCTTTTCTTATGTTTCCTTAACCCCAAAACTTTACTTGCTCACCAATCTCGTCTTAGTTTGAACCAAGAACACAGTCTATATATATATAGCAATAGTCTCTACAAAGAATATAGTCTAACGCAGTGCTTCCCAAATGCTTTTTCGCAGAACCTTAGGGTGCCGTGGAGGAGTTAAAGAGTTTCCGCGACTTAGTACTTTTTTGAACAAGTGATGAGTTCAGAAACCTCTGATTATATTTAGATACAACTTATAAATCTTAATTAATTTAGTAAAGATCAAATAAATTATTTCCTTTGAGAAATTATGAATTATTTATTAATTCTGTATTTATTCTTTATGAATTCCGTATTATTTTATGAATTCTTTAAAAATTATTAATTCTTTACGAATTCTTTATTAATGTATGAATTCTTTATGAATTATTAATTCATGAATAATTAATTATTTATGAATTATATTTTTATGATGGTTGTCTTTATGAAATTATTTCAAGTAAAGTACCAGTGAAATAGAAATCTATTAAAAAAATGTTTCTTATAGCAATATATGTACTTATAACAATATTAATTATTCTTATAACAATATATTATACAAAATAACACATAACAATAACAAAGTATGAAAAGAACAAGCATTTATAAAATCTTGCATTAGTACTTCCTATCACTCTTTTCAAATCAAAATAAAATAATTAAATTCGTTATTAACGAAATATATTTCCTTAATAATCATTTTCAACGTTTATAGCAGTTCTTTTAGCTTTTTATATCGAAGTAAACCAAAATATGGCATAATTTATTCATTTTCAGTTTATGTAAATACACCAGAAACAAATTCATAATTAGACTAGGTATAGCACAAAGACTGGAAGTTTAGCTGTCGGAAATAAAACCTAATTTCCGATTATTAATGATAAACAATTAATCATACAGTCTTCATTCTTTTAATTAGATATTTTAAATATAGTCTTTAATAGGTTATAGCTTTCACATTAATATAATGAACTTTATTTAGAAGGTCAAGGTACCGTGGAAAGAAGGCAGATTATTTAGGGTTCCGTGGAAAGAAGGCAGATTATTTAGGGTTCCGTGGAAAGAAGGCAGATTATTTAGGGTTCCGTAGCCGTAAAAAATTTGGAATCACTGGTCTAATAGATTAAGTAAAAATGCTCATTATTATTTTTTTCTTTCATGCAACAAGTCAATTTCTTATAATCGTTTCTAATTTTGAAAATTCTGAAAAATGGAGTAGCCTAAATAGCAAACTCATAATCGGAAAAATATTATCAAAAGACACTGGTTAGGTACTATTAGGTATTATGGTATTCTCAAATAAAAACGTGTAGTAAATACATTGAATAACTGAGGGGAATAAGTAAAAATAGTGATTTTTTATGCTTGTTTTATTTAATTTAATAAAAATGGGAAAAAAATTACCCCAACTATTGCGTTATCTCGGCATCAAGCAATTTAATTATGAAATCTTTAATAAAAAAAAAACTTGGATTCAAAACTAAATGACAAAAAATCAGAAAAGTTAACAAGTGCTTATTTTTGCTTGAGTAGAGAATTTTGTTTGCGCAATCAACTGTGTAGGCTATACAAGAAAAGAAGAAACATTGGTCAACAAAGCAGCAATATTTGATAATATATTTTCTCAGAGGGTTAGAAAAAATAAAAATATTGTAATATGTGTAAAAAGTTATGAGAGCGTAACATTCATAAAATGGTATATTTAAAAGTAATATTGCAAATAAAGCAGATTCAAGATATTAACCTAATTGAATTGTTCCCAAAGATTTAAGTTATAAAAAATAGGTTTAACTATGCGAATAAATAAACTCATGCAGTTTATCGCAAAACCAATCGATAAAACTAAAATTCTTAGGCAAGTATTAAGATAAGCATGAACTTATAAAAACTTATATTAACCTTCCGTTAGTCGCGCGCACCTCTCAGGTGCATCCCTACTGCACTTTCACCTCCTTTGCCGTCAATAGATTTTTCCGGGGGTCGAGCCTAATGTTATGTTCCTAACTTTGGATTACTCAAATGTCCGTGCAAAACCGACCTTAGAACATGTCGATGGAGAGTTGGAACCGCTCAAATCACCCCTCTGGTGCAGCGCGACCATTGACGCAAGTATTATGGATATAATATTTTTATGAATTAAATNTGAAGATGGAAATTTAAATCATAACACTCAGTGAACAAGAAATTGTACTCAAAACAGGTGTACTGCATACCTGCCAACTTTTTCGCATTTGGCGTAAAGTTTTATTTCTATATTTAAAGTGGTAGTAAAGTGTATGCTTTTTATATATTCCTTGCATTTATAAACTTAATTTAGAATCTTTTTGACCACCACTATTTTTAAAAAAATTAAGAATATATAAATTAATATGTATGAAGAATCACGTGAAAAAAAAAGGATGAGATAAGTGTTAAACAAACTTCTCACAAGAAGTTTAATTTTTAATACCTATTTAAATGATTTTTATGTATCTATTACAACATGTATCATTCTATATGATTTTACTGGAGAATATATTATACAAAATAACACATAACAATAACAAAGTATAAAAAGAACAAGCATTTATAAAATCTTGCATTAGTACTTCCTATCACTCTTTTCAAATCAAAATAAAATAATTAAATTCGTTATTAAAGAAATATATTTCCTTAATAATCATTTTCAACGTTTATAGCAGTTCTTTTAGCTTTTTATATCGAAGTAAACCAAAATATGGCATAATTTATTCATTTTCAGTTTATGTAAATGCACCAGAAACAAATTCATAATTAGACTAGGTATAGCACAAAGACTGGAAGTTTAGCTGTCGGAAATAAAACCTAATTTCCGATTATTAATGATAAACAATTAATGATACAGTCTTCATTCTTTCAATTAGATATTTTAAATATAGTCTTTCATAGGTTATAGCTTTCACATTAATTTAATGAACTTTATTTAGAAGGTCAGGGTTCCGTGGAAAGAAGGTAGGTTATTTAGTGTTCCGTGGAAAGAAGGCAGATTATTTAGGGTTCCGTGGAAAGAAGGTGGATTATTTAGGGTTCCGTGGTAAGAAGGTAGATTATTTAGGGTTCCGTAGCCGTAAAAAATTTGGAATCACTGGTCTAATAGATTAAATAGAAATGCTCATTATTATTTTTTTCTTTCATGCAGCAAGTCAATTTCTTATAATCGTTTCTAATTTTGAAAATTCTGAAAAATGGAGTAGCCTAACTAGCAAACTCATAATCGGAAAAATATTATCAAAGAACACTGGTTAGGTACTATTAGGTATTATTGTACTCTCAAATAAAAACGTGTCGTAAATACATTGAATAACTGAGGGGAATTAGTAAAAATAGTGATTTTTTATGCTTGTTTTATTTAATTTAATAAAAATGGGGAAAAAATTACCCCAACTATTGCGTTATCTCGGCATCAAACTATTTAATTATGAAATCTTTAATAAAAATAAAAAAACTTGGATTCAAAACTAAAGGTCAAAAAATCAGAAAAGTTAACAAGTGCTTATTTTTGCTTGAGTAGAGAATTTCGTTTGCGCAGTCAACTGTGTAGGCTATACAAGAAAAGAAGAAACGTTGGTCAACAAAGCAGCAATATTTGATAATATATTTTATCAGAGGGTTAGAAAAAATAAAAATATTGTAATATGCGTAAAAAGTTATGAGAACGTAACATTCATAAAATGGTATATTTAAAAGTAATATTGCAAATAAAGCAGATTCAAGATATTAACCTAATTGAATTGTTTCCAAAGATTTAAGTTATAAAAAATAGGTTTAACTATGCGAATAAATAAACTCATGCAGATAATCTCAAAACCAATCGATAAAACTAAAATTCTTAGGAAGTATTAAGATAAGTATGAACTTATAAAAACTTATATTAATCGGACCTCAGTCCAGGTATTTTGAATGCCTTCTCATGCCTTCGAATTACTAGAAAATATCGATTTCATATTATTTACACATTATCTGAATATTTAAGATACAAAAATTAAGTTGAAGTATTATTTTTTTTGTTATTCAAGCAGAAATCTACTAGGAATGTTGGGAAAAAGAACAATAAGTTTCGTTAAGATAGTCACCTGCTCCAGCAGCGACTCCAGATCGTGCAACAGTGCCATAGCCTTGTTAAGCTTCTTGACCATAACCACCTACAGCAGCTCCATAACCCTGTGCATAACCACATGAAGTAGCTGCTGCAGATCCAGAACTAGCAGCATAAGCTTTACCTGTTCCTTCTCCGTATCTTACAGCACCAGTAACGTAGCTTTGTCCTGATGCATGACTGAAACCTCCTGCTCCTGCACCAGATCCAGTACTATATCCTTGACCAAATCCTTGGCCATAACCTCCACTAACTGCCCCTGTACCTCCAGCACTAGCTGCCTCATTTTCTTAAATGGCATTTTAATTTGAAGCCATTTGAAGCACGCATTTTTTGTTGAGTTAATTTTCTCAAGCTCGCGTTTTATAGTATATCCAGCGTANAATATATATATTTTATCTCATTTTCTGTCCTTCTCAACGTAGCAGGTATAAATGGTCAAGTTACATTCACAGAAAATGGTTACGGAGTAAAAAACAGCACAACCTTCTTGCGTCAATTGGTTGAACATCTTGTGATGGAGGAAGAGATCCGACGCGGGAGCAAGAAAAATTTATCTTCGGTACTTCGCTAAATAAGTTTTTTGATATTTATCTCTCTAAAGAGTCTTAAATTGGTAACAATTAACTATTTAAACTAGACTAAATTTCATTTGGCTTTCAAAAAATCAGAAACACCTCATAGGTGCAACGCGATTAACCATGTCGGAAACAAGTGCGCGACTAACGGAAGGTTAATCGGACCTCAGTCCAGGTATTTTGAATGCCTTCGAATTACTAGAAAATATCGACTTCATATTATTTACACATTATCTGAATATTTAAGATACGAAAATTGAGTTGAAGTATTAATTTTTTTTGTTATTCAAACAGAAATCTACTAGAAATGTTGGGAAAAAGAACAATAAGTTTCGTTAAGATAGTCACCTGCTCCAGATCGTGCAACAGCGCCATAGCCTTGTTCAGCTCCTTGACCATAACCACCTACAGCAGCTCCATAACCCTGTGCATAACCACCTGAAGTAGCTGCTGCAGATCCAGAACTAGCACCATAAGCTTTACCTGTTCCTTCTCCGTATCTTACAGCACCAGCAACGTAGCTTTGTCCTGATGCATGACTGAAACCTCCTGCTCCTGCACTAGATAGATCCAGTACTATATCCTTGACCTAATCCTTGGCCATAACCTCCACTAGCTGCCCCTGTACCTCCAGCACTAGCTGCCTCATTTTCTTAAATGGCATTTTAATTTGAAGCCATTTGAAGCACGCAATTTTTGTTGAGTTAATTTTCTCAAGCTCACGTTTTATAGTATATCCAGCGTAAAACTCACAGACGAAAAAATAAATATCGATTAAATGTAAAAACGTAAGCATACCTGCTTACTTTAACACTTTACAAAGTGGTGTTTTCTTAAGTGGTAGGGTAGAGTCAATGAAATTGAGATTGTCTGTTGGCGTTTCGTAAAAATTTAATCAACAATTAAAAACACTTTCAGAAAGCCTAAAAGCCTATTGTACATATGTTTTCAATTCTTAGTGATTACGACTACTAATGCTTAACTCCGTTGCCTTGTAATTTTGAACCCAATCCAGAAGACAAAGGAACTGAAGGATCAAGTATTGGAGGAAATTTCCCTTTGAGGAGGAATATTGGAGGTAATTTGCATGGAGAGGAAAAACCACGAAAACCACCCACGGTTAGCACTAGCAAGGGGACTCTAACCCAGGATCCGCTAGCCACTGAGGATATTTTACGTCAGCGTTGTGGTCGGTGCAAACCTGGTGCGGAATTCGTCTCGACCAACCATCGCTGGGATTCGAACTCGGTTGACCTCATTGGAAGGTGAACCCTCTATCCTCTGAGTCATCATTGCTCTCTTTCGTAAATAGAAATAATTCGCATTTGTATGAAAACTGAATAACAAATATCTTAAAATAGGGGGGAAATTTCAGAATTTTTATTTTTTTTTAAATGATGAACGATATTTTTTTATTATATCGATATTAAATATTTTAATAAATTTCTTATATATCTATGCCTTTTTTTATCTCTCAATGACGAAGATCATATGTAATTTACATCATGAACAACCAGTTAATTTTTGTTTTATTTGCAGTTGCGCCTCCACTATCGGAAGAAAAAAAACTTGCATTCTTATTAGAACTGCAAAAAAAAAGAAAAGAAATATGTCTCACACTGAAAATAGGATACTGTCAAAGATTTAGAAAGATTACGAGTGGTGGAGAATTAATAATTAAGTTAAAAACTTGAAGTACTCAGGGCGGCCAACTTAGAAGGTCTCTTAAGAAATTTTATTCAAGTGATAGCAAAGTTTTTGGAAGTCACTAATGATGACCTGCTGCATCTCGTTCCACAGTTCTGTAAAAACACCTCTAAATCGACTAAACTCGGAGGCTGTCCAACTGGCCGTTTCAGGTTTTCCTAGATATATTCGTTTGATGGCAAATTTGGGGATCGAGCAAGCCATGATAGAATGGTAATGTGGCGGCAGCATTTATGAAACACCCGTGATGTCTGCAGTTGAGTGTGATATTGTTTATAAATCGCTCTTAGTGGCTCTGTTATTCGTGGTAACGCATAACATGTGGCTGAAGGATGTTACTAGCCACCGATGGACGACTGCCGTGTCACTGCGCATCATTAGTAATGGGGAACGTGAATAGCGGTGACTATTCCATCACACCAGCTGCAGAAGAGGAGTGCTGTCACCCAGCTGGGCAGGATTGCTATCTCCGTTTGAAATGTGTTGCTCTAGATGGGATTGGATTGCAATTGAATGGAAACAGGTCGTCTTTAATGATAAACTCAGACTTAATTTGGGCAGTAATGACAATCATGCATGAGTGTGGAGGCCCCTTCATGAAAGCTTCAATTCCGCCTACACTGTTTCGTACTCTTAAGTCTGAAAATGAATAAGACGTCTAACTTTGCGAAAATTTGAATTAGTTTTGAAGCAATTAAATTGCTCATATTTACGATGTTACAATGTAAAGAAAAAACTAATCGAAGTAAAATCATCTTCTNTAATTATTAAATAACTAACATTATAATAATTAAAAACAAAAAAATTATGCATGATTTGCTATCTCAATTGATAAGACTTTTCCATGTTGGACCCCGGCGTTTATGGGTCACACCAGCATTCATTCAAGCAGATTGATTTACTGATGATATTGACATTGGAGACAACATCTGAAGCTGAATAGTCGAGCGTGGATACCTGGCACTGGTAATACCTTGATCATCTATTGATCATCTTGAGTTCATCTATTTTCAACAATAACAATTCACTGTAACGAGATTTTTCACTTCGTTGAAGCAATTCATCATAAAAATTGTATCTGTTAAAAACAATTGGTAGTTATAGATTTTTATTATTCTCGAAAAAAAACTAAAAAATGAAATTTATTAGTTACCAGTTTTTATTCTTTTCCGTCTCGATATATATGGGCTTTAAGCCCTGCTCTCTTCGCCTAAATCTCCACAATCACCGTCAGATGGGGTGACTTAGTGCAAACTGTTAATTATTAAATAACTAACATTATAATAATTAAAAACAAAANAATGTGGCGGAAGCATTTATGAAACACCCGTGATGTCTGCAGCTGAGTGTGATATTGTTTATAAATCTCTCTTAGTGGCTCTGTTATTCGTGGTAACGCATAACATGTGGCTGAAGGATGTTACTAGCCACCGATGGACGACTGCCGTGTCACTGCGCATCATTAGTAATGGGGAACGTGAATAGCGGTGACTATTCCATCACACCAGCTGCAGAAGAGGAGTGCTGTCACCCAGCTGGGCAGGATTGCTATCTCCGTTTGAAATGTGTTGCTCTAGATGGGATTGGATTGCAATTGAATGGAAACAGGTCGTCTTTAATGATAAACTCAGACTTAATTTGGGCAGTAATGACAATCATGCATGAGTGTGGAGGCCCCTTGATGAAAGCTTCAATTCCGCCTACACTGTTTCTTACTCTTAAGTCTGAAAATGAATAAGACGTCTAACTTTGCGAAAATTTGGATTAGTTTTGAAGCAATTAAATTGCTCATATTTACAATGTTACAATGTAAAGAAAAAACTAATCGGATTAAAATTATTCTTTTTTGCGGAAACGTTAACTAATAGCTAAATAAAAAAAGCACCTGATTAAAGTAATTATTTTTAAATAGATATTAAATTTCTCCTAATGCCCCACTCTCTTCGCCTAAATGAAAATAATGTGACGTCACACAATATTCAAAAACAGAACAATTTTCATTGAAAAGTTTGAAAAACGGAAACGAATTTAGAACGCTGGACAATGTAGCTGTAGCTGTAAATGATATCTGTATTGTTTTATTGGCTTAATTTTTTTTATATTGAAGTAGATTATGAAAAATAAAAATTGTGCAAGTTTAAGCCCTTAAAAAAACTTTCCTCTTTGTAGAAAATTTCAAAGTTCAAGATCCTTTCTTTAAAAGTGAAATATGTTTCAAGGGGTTTATTTAACCCTTTCGAGCCGACTATCACAAATACGTGCCAGCATAAAACCGTATCAATCAGGGTAAAAAGATAAAACTGGTAATCAAAGTAATTCTTTAGCAGTTTATTTGTGGGAGGAGTTATAATTGTTTGATTTATTTAATTCGCCATTACTTTATTCGAAATAAAACTATTTAATTATACTTTGAATTAATATTGATTATATATATGATTAAACTAACAATAATTAAAGTAAAAGCAAAGTAAGTCTGTCAAATTAGTAACGACTACATTTAAGTTACCGTTTTTTATTTAATTACAACTTGATTCTGATTTTGTACGAATGCTTTTCTGAATCAACCGTCCCCAAGGGGTTAAAGAAAGTAACAAGCTATATTATTATTGTACAAGTTATACTATTATTATATCTTATTGCTTAGCTATATTATTACTATACCGATACTTAGTTATGGGCATACACTCGTTTCCATGGATACATTGATACTTATTAGAATTATGCTTAAACAAAGTTAGTGAAAAATTCAGTTGATAGCGATTTCCTGCATGAAAATCTTTGTTAAACTACAGCTACCCCAAAAGTTTTTTCCCCCACTGAATATTGAAAATCACTATTAGGATAAGCTTTGTGACTGAACACTTTCCTGTGATATTAATGCTTTAACTAGACATAGCTATTAAAATTTTCAAAAAATCCCAAATCTAACTTTTTTTATTAGTTTATCGCCAAACGACATTGTCGCTCAAAAAAACTAACCCTACCATCTTTCAGCTAAATGTATCTACTATCGCAAACTAAATGTATCTACTAAAAGCAAAGTCAATTTTAGTCAATTTAATACTGAAACAAAGTCACAATCATTTTTCTACAAAAAGCAAAACAAGTTTAGAATAAAGTGTATTTACTAAGAACAAAATCAATGGTATCATTTTTAAAAATTTTTAAGACGGCTGAAAAAAGTGTAGGTTTAACTTTGAGTTGAGAATTACAAAATATTTTTCTTATTATATATTTCCTTTACATTCAGTTTTATTTGTTGCTTAGAACCTCTAAATTTATCTCCCTTTTACTACTAATAAAAAAAGTTTCCAGACAGTGGTAACTCTGTTTTAGTATATATAGCCATTCAAAGTTTCAAAAAATGAAAAATCTGCATTTTTTAATTAATGTATCTCAAAACAGCATTATTGCGTAAACAAACTAGGTATACTATCTTATGGTACGTTACTTTTAAAAAGTAACAAGCAAAAATACAAGTACTTTAGGCAAAAGTAACGAGAAAAAAGGAAAAAATTTTGATTTTAAAATGTAATGAGTAAAAAGTACAAGTGCAAAACAAAAAAGTAACGATTTTCAAGGGAATTCAAAGTAACCTTAAATTTCATTAAAAAAACGTAAGAAAAAAAACGCAATTTTAATTTAAAAATGTGTTAAATTTTGATTAAAATGTATAAAACTTTAAAATACATGAAAATCTTACAAACTTCATTGAAATAGTAAAGGTTAAAAATATGTACTCAATTACGTTTATAAAAGGTTTTGTGTTCATGCACACAACTGGGTCACTTTTTAAATAGTCTGCGCGGACTACTTATAATAGACCGTGTGGAGGTGATGGAGCACATCGGAAGCTAGTTGTATAACCAAGTAAGTGTTCTGTAAAAGTACGTTAATTTTCTTTCGCTTTCAGAAAATTCAATCGACTCGTTAACTAACATCTAAATATCTCATCTTTTTACCATCCGCACAGCACATAAAAAGTAGCGCAGACAGCTTTAGTTTTGAACTGTGTGGTTCGTCACGGATACAATAATATTTATAAATATTTATTGAATTTAATAATGTTAAATACTGGTAGATATTTTAATAGTGTAATAATATAGTCGCTTTTTGATACATTGTTGAAAATTGATTAAGATCCTATTTTTAAGAGACTTTTATCCATTATCTTTTATTAATGACAATGCAGGGACAACACAATGGCATGCATTGACGATATAGAACGCTCTATGATAGCCAGATACTGCTAAGATATTTCATATTATCCGTTTCGTTGTGAACGCGTACATAAGAGAGAATGCTCAAAATGTTCGGGAGTTTCAAAAATATTTAAAAGTTTTAATCTTGCGAGCTACATTATACTTTTGAAAATCAAAGTTTATTCACATTGCTCGCCGTTTTAATTAAGATCATCATTACCGTATGGAAGTTGTTCTTACCTTGGAAGAAGTAGGCGTTACTGTTTGATATTTGTGAGCCATTTTTGGAAAAAACGTAAGAAAAATGAAATTTAATTTAAAATATATTACATTTTAATTAAAATTTATAAAACTTTAAAATGCAAGAAAATGTTGCAAACTTCATTGAAATATTAAAGGTTGAAAGTATTCAGAAATCAAAATTCAATATTTTCTCAAGAAATTTCATTGCTTAGAAGGACACATTTGAAATTTCAGCACTAGTTCAGTTTTACTTAATGTCGGTATTTAATTTAAATAACCAATACAAGGACAATATTTAATTAAAATATTTATCTTTGAACTACCATTTCTTTAAAAAAGAATTTGTCTTAAAGAGAATTGCTTGAATAAATACATATTTTGAGACAAATTAATGATTAAAACTCCAAAATTCGTGATGTACTAGTAGCCAAGTATATCAGCAGAAATTTTTTCAGAGAAAGATTGCAATTTTTTGTTTACTCTCAAGTGCGGTTTAAAATCTTTTTTGCGGTTGCTTCTAACTTCATGTATTGGCTGAAGGCGCCTTTCTTGAAATGAATCAGAATCTCACTGAAGCAAATTGTGTTATGTAAATATACGAACTTGAGAAAATGTGAAATATTTTTAATAAATCACTCTGAGATCGGAACAGCTTGATTGGTAGGACATTGGACTCGCGTTCGATAAAACGGGAGTTCGAATACTACCGACAAAAAAATACCCGTACATTAAATGGTGACTACTTTAAATCTGACTGGG